AACAAAATAAAAATATAAAAACAAAAACAGACATTATTTTATAAGAACATAAAAAAAGTTTAACATACACTGATTTGACAATGATTTCAACAATAAAAAAGAAAACAAAACAATAATTACAACAAAAAGGCAAATAAATGAAAAAAGTATAACAAAGTTCCGAAGCAACTTATCAACGGAAAACTGGGATCAGGTTTTCGTTTGCAAAGACACTAACACAGCTTACGATATTTTTAAACACACTTTTACAACTTTGTACGAAAAAGCGTTTCCGAAGCTTGAGCAATTAACAAAACTCAAAAACCTTAAAAGTCCTTGGATGACAAAAGGGCTTATTAAATCTTCAAAAAAAAAAAAAAACTTTATGAAAAATTTTTGAAAAAAAAGACTTTTAAAAACAAATAAATATATAAACAATACAAAAATTTATTTGAAAAATTAAAAAAACATTCAAAAAAAAACTATTACTGCAATTTATTAGAAAATAATTGCGGTAACACTAAAAAAACATGGGGCGTAATAAAAGAGGTTACAGGAAAAAAAAAAGATGCTACCAAAGTGTTCCCGCAATACTTAAAAACAGATGAAAATGATACAGTAGCCAATAAGGCAATAGATATTGCAGAGAAATTTAATAACTACTTTTTAAAAATTGGGGAAAAACTAGCTAATAAAATAACTCGTGGAAAAAAATGTTATAAGCTGTATCTAGAAAAAAAAGCCTCAGTCATGAACGAGCTTGAATAACTCCGGATGAGCTTAAAAATGCATTTAATACCTTACAAGAAAACAAAAGTCCAGGACTAGATGACATTAGCGTGAACGTTGTAAAAAATGTCTACGATATTATTGAATATCCCCTTCTGCATATCTGTAATCTGTCTTTAAAAAATAGGGTGTTCCCTGACCAGCTAAAGCTAGCAAAAGTTGTTCCTATATTTAAAAGCGGAGACGATTCGATTGCTTCTAACTACCGGCCTATTTCTATTTTGCCATGCATTTCAAAAATATTAGAGCGCATAATGCACAATAGGCTAAACAATTATCTAGTAAACCACCACCTACTAAATAATAACCAATATGGCTTTCAAAAACACCATTCAACAGAACACGCTGTAGCCAAACTTGTCAATGAAATTTTTAATGGGTTTGACAACAATAAATACACTCTTGTGGTATTCTTCGATCTCTCAAAAGCGTTTGACACTGTTGACCACGAAATTCTTCTTTATAAACTATATAATTATGGAATAAGAAATAACAATTTAAAATGGTTTCGCTCTTACCTTAATAATCGGAAACAAGCTTTATCATACAACAACACTGTAACACGACTTGAAGACATTACTTGTGGGGTCCCACAAGGATCAATTCTTGATCCATTATTATTCCTCGTTTATATTAACGATATCTACTTATCTTCTAACATACTTAACTTTGTCCTTTTTGCCGATGATACGCAAGTGTTCTTTAGCCACACAAACATTAGCCTATTATTTAACACTGTTAATCAAGAACTTGAAAACCTGAACGAATGGTTTAAGGCTAACAAACTCTCCTTAAATGTCGAAAAAAGTAAATATATTTTTTTTACAAAATTATCAAAATCTGAAACCCTCCCCTTAAAACTACCTGATTTACTAATTGATAAAACTAAACTTAAACGAGAATACTCAATCAAATTTTGAGGCGTAATTCTTAATGAACATCTTAGCTGGAGTAATCATATCAAAGTAATAGAAAATAAGATATCAAAAATTATTGGTATTATGTATAAAACAAAACATCTCCTAAACACAAATTGTTTAAAAAATAATAAAAAAAATTCATAGCTTCATCAGCTACTGCAACATTATCTGGGCAAGTACTTATCCTTCAAAGTTAAATATGATCTACAAAATACAAAAACGAGCAATTCGCTTGATATTAAATGCAAATAAATACGCTAGTGCCAGACCACTACTAAGAGAAATTGGAGTGCCTAATGTCTATGAAATAGATATTCTTAATATACTTATTTTCATGTTTAAGTTTAAAAATGGTATGCTACCAAGCATTTTCCAAACTTATTTTTTTTCTTTAAACCACAAATACGAAACTAAATACTCAACAAATAATTTTATTATACCAAAAACATTATCAAAACAAGCTGATTTTTCGATATCTTGCCGAGGGCCGCGGTTATGGAACTTGCTTTTAACAAGTAATATAAAAACTTTTAATTCAACTCAACATTTTAAACGTGCAACAAAACAACACTTATTTGGTTTTGACACAAAGCAATTACTATCGTATTATTAAAAACTTTTGGTAATCTTAGTTATTTAATGTCTCACAAATTGACTCAACATCACAATTATATTGTATGGTACTTAGAACATGTATGATATTATTTTATTTTACAATAATAACGTAATTTGTAAATGCAATATTTATTATATCTTACGCAATTTGTAGATGGATTGTAATTTATTTGATTTGTATGTATATATGAACGGACATATATTTGTGTGTACGTGTGCGTATGTGTGTGTGCGTGCGTGTATAATAAAAATAAAAGTAGAATAAAATAGAGAATTAAAAAAAATAATAATAATGAGAAGAAATAATTAATTTTTTTTTTTTTTTTTTCTCTTCCTGTAAATTATAATTTGATTTTTAAGTTCTTTTCTTCTTAAAATCAGTTCTTGCTTTAGTTTCTTTTTTCCTTTTTCAGTTTTATCGGCTGAATTTTTTAGTTATATTAACGGGGCTGGATGATAAGATCATGTCTTCTGCCAGCTCCGGTCGAAACTTTAATGTTACAATTTTTATGTTGTAAAAAAACATTGTAAAAGATTATTCATTTAAGGACGAAATAAATAAATAAAATAAATAAATAAATGATTTCTATTGCCTATATTATTTATATACTATATTATACAATCATTAAACCTAGTTTATTATAACTAAAATAGACCATGATGGTTTCTTGTTTTTCATTACCATTGCTGTGTTACTGGGTGTATTTTTTATGATTTAAACTTTTATTTTTATTTGTGTTGAATCTTGTATCCTTTTTAGGAAACCTGTCCCGTTAGTCTGCAACTACAACTACAATCATTACTTAACAATAAACTTGTTTTTGTTCATATAATATTATTTGAAAATGCACCATTCTTACTCGCATAAGCCAAGCTGTGTGCGACCACATATTGCGCGCAACGAATTTTGTTGTTCGATACACACAAAAACAAATTAAGAAAAGAGACATAATATTAAACCATATCCCTTGTATAGCCTCGGAGCATAACAAAGAGATACAAATCATCAAAATTTCAGGTTTTTTTTGTGACTTTGCTTTAAAAAAAAATTTAAAAAATTTTAAACATTAAAAAGTTTTCTTTGTTGTTGCATTCTCTCGTGCATTATTCTTATAAAGCAAGTGTTTTTTACTTCTTCATTGCAGCATGAAGTTATAAAAAGTTTTGTCTAAACTCAATCAACTAAAATATTTTTAAAAACTCTGGATAACATTCTAAGTTCTCCAATTATCGTCAAACCAGCCTTTTCTCTATTATTAGCAAGGTCATTAAGTTTTTGATTAACAAACTTCTAAAATCTTATCTCGAGTCTAATAACTTTTTTTTCTGACAATCAATAGAGAATCCGATCTTCTCGATCTTCAGCTAACTTGCTAACTGTGTAACGCAAAGGTTCCATTGCGCGTTAGATGGAGGCGGCGAGGCAAGGGTTATTGCTCTTGACATTTCAAAAAAATTCGATAAAGTTTGGCATAGTCTTCTTCATATACTTTTTTTATATGGTGTATGTTGGAAAACTTTAATTATTAAGTCCACTTTTTTTAAGCACAGTATTAAAGTCACCCTCGCCAATACTGTTCTTTATTTTCAGTAATTTCTAGAACACAGCAAAGTTCTATCCTTAGCCATGTATTGTTTTTTATCTTCATTAACAATCTTCCCGACAGTCTAAAGTAGCTTTATTTGGTCACGACTCAACTTAACACTTCTGTAAGTCTTAACTTTTCTATCACTTCGAGAAGGTAATCTTAAATCTGATCTCATTTTTGTAACAGTTTGGGGTTTGAAGTGGCTTTTGAATATTAATTCCAAAAAAACTTAGTTATTTATAGTAAAAAAACTATTACAATATTGTTAAAATTTCTATATTGTTGATTAACAACCTGAGATCTCTAATTTATGACTTCTTGGATTATTATTCATTACTGACCTCTTAAAGAAAGCATATATACAATTCATTGCAAAGTTAGCATTTGTTAAAGTTGTTACTCTTTATCGTGCTCCCCTTTTTCTTGATCTCTCTACCTGTACAAATTTTTTATTCGCCTCTGTATGGATGACTGTTATCATATTTGGGCTGTTTCTTCTAATGATGCTCTTTCTCTACTAGACAAGATCCAAAAACATACTGTAGTAGTTGGACCTACTCTCTCTGCTAAGCTTGAGCCACTGTTCCATCAATATAAGATTGCATCTTTTTCTCTATTATACGAATACTAACATGGTCGCTGCTCAGACGAGCTATCATCTCTAGCTTCAACAACCAAAACTCATTCTCCTGACTTTTTATTCACCGCACTCTTTAACTGTATCTGTTCTTTCGTACTCTTTTATTCATTCGTAAACTTTTATTCATCTAGTTTTTTTCTTATGACTTCAATGATTTGGAACTCTCTCCCATCCTCATGTTTTCACAGTTCATTTTTTTTAAAGTAAAAAATATGCGAGAAAAAAAGATGCGTTAAAATTAAATTTGCGCAAGGATTATTGTTTTTATTAATTAAAGGTAACTTTATTTATCATTACATATGGTAAAAGCAAAACATGGCTTTCTTCATAAGAGCTCCTAAAGACATAATAAAGAGCCTTGAATTTTGTTTTAAGTTTTGATTTAACCAAACGATTAATATTGGACAACGAAAGTTTTTCAAACGCCAATCAAAGATAACCTCGTTAAACGAAGAGATAACACATTTATTTAAGTATGAAATCTATAGATATTTTAAAACACATAAATCAAGCAAGTAGAAAATATTGCCAAAATTACAATTCAAAAATATAAAATATAATTCTTAAATACAACTTTGAAAGCAATTGATTATAACGGTCGAAAACAAAATTATATTGGCAAGGCTTAGTACACTTTATTTACATGATAAAACTATACAAAAGTACTTGCATCAGAAAGTTTTCTCCATTTTAATTCTTCAAAGCCTTCTGCCTCATCTTCGTCATTTGCTGATAAACTTATAGCAAGAGAGTACGAAATACTTGTACCAGTGCTGGTTTTATCAATATCTGGACTTTCTAAAACTTGAGAAACGTTTAAACTTTGCATCGGAATAGCTTCTTCAGTCAAGTCTAATTGAAGGAATTCCATGTCTGAACGATCTTCTCTTGATTTCTTCCATTTTAAGCACAGAAAAACTGAGCATATGAGTATTAAAATAGTTATCAAAACTGCTGCAGGTACCATTACAAACAATGTAACTGGGATAGAACTCGCTTGATGTTCACGCGACTTTGTTTGAACTGTTACATTTTCTACAGAAAAAAAATACAAAAAATACCGTTTTATAAAGTAAAAAAAATGATTTGTCATATTATAATATAAACGTGCATAAAATAATGTCACTAGATAAAAGTTATAAAATTTTTCAAATTGCGTCAGACCTGGAAACTAATATTAACTTTAGGGGGCATTTTTTTAAAGCGCAATATTTGTTTATGTTTTGAACTCTTTGTTTTTAGGCAGTTTAATTCTTTTCTGAATTATGAGGTGGTATTACAGCTCGTGTTTTAACAACTTTAGATCTAAAGATAATGAAGGTAATCTTATAAAAGCATATCGATTGCCAAGAGATGAAAATATTTAGAAACTTTAAATGAAGCTTTTTAAAACTTCTGGAGTGAATTGGAAAAAAGGACATATATGTTCCGCCCATTGGAGTAAGAACATTAGAAATAACACCGACCATTTACCAGACATTATTGTTCCTCCAGATCAGTTGGAAAAGCTTAAAAAAAGAGCCATAAATTCGAAAAAAAGCTATATTAACGCAATTTCGACAACACACAAAGCAAAGAAATTGTTATTATTTAAAAATGCTTCAAAAAGATATAAAAATGATTGATAAAACTGTTTATCAATAGCTCAAAATATAGTTTGAAAAAAAGACGAACCTTTGTAGTTCGTACTAAACAAACTATGAAAAAAACTAGAGAATTTTCAAAAACTGAATTAAAAAAACAACTTGAAAAATCCATAAAAACAATTGAATTATTGCAAACTGTTATATAAAAAAAAATATTTGCATAACCAAATTTGAAAATAAAATACTTACGCAAAGTGTAAAAATTCAAGAGTTAAAAGTTGAAATAATGCATCTCTCTGGTAGCATATTTAATTGGAGAGCAAAAAAATTTACCTGTGAAAATATTAAATCAAGAAAACAAACATTTCAATACTTATGTGGGGTAACAAAAGAAAATTTTGATATGCTTTTTGAATGTGTCCAACTGTATTTACATTATATACCATACCCAGATTGTCCAAATACAGGTGAAAAGCTGTTAATAATGAAACTCAGTTCTGACTGTATGTCGTCATAGATTAGATTTAAAATTTATGTCATTTTTGCTTGAAAAGTCTTATACAACTGTAAATAGAATTTTTACTGGTTGGGTAATACTTTGTGCTACACTTTTTAACAAAATAGATTTAAAAGTTGGTGGTAGTTTCCTTCTAAAGAAAATGCCAGATATAATTGTGAAAACTGGCAATGGATTAACTGACATTGTTATAGATGCCATTGAATTCAAATTTCAGCATGCTTCTAAGCTTGATTTGAGTAGTTTTATGTTCTCTCAATACAAAAAGAATCATACAGGAAATGTTCTTATTGGAATAGCTCCTCATGGAATGGGCTTTTTTTTTCAGTGACATTTATCCAGGGTCTATAAATAATAATAAAATATTTCAAAAAGATATATAGTTATATGTAAAAATACATTATGCTTGAATTGTAAAGTCAGTATCGTTCTCAAAATTTAATAAAAAAACTGATTTAGAGTATTTCTTGACTAAAAAAAACTGGTTTTAGGTTTTCAAAGTTTAGTTCTTTGGTGAGGAATTTTTCTCTGAGCAAACAATCTTCTTTGTTTTCATGATAGTTCCATGCAAATATTTTTGAATAGGATAAAATAGTCTAATAATATATTAGTAGATTATTTATTTCAATTAAAAAGAAATTCTACTCAATCTAATGATCGAAGAGGTCCATCACAGTTTTCTGTCTTTGTTTTAACTTTTAAAAGCAAGCCACCAGCAGCAAGAGCATCTGGTATTGCTCCAAAGCACATTATTGTAGAGTGTGTTAAGAAACCACATTTAATTGTTTTTGATTAGGAAATTTTTTCAAAATAAGATATAGCAGTTTTTCAAACTCTACTCCTCTTTTTATATTTTTGACCAAAAATTTTTTCTTCGCTTTTACCAGTTTTTACAGTACTCCAGCATTTGATAAATTTGTTTTTTTCCTGAAGTCCAAGTAAAGAAGGTTATCGAGTTCCAATTATTTCAAATCTATGTAATTGATCCCACTCTTCAGTATTTTGTGCAACATCTATATAATTAGCTCCCTGTGGTTTTGGTGAGTTTAAAAGTCTTATGTCTATATAAACTCTTACTTTTGGGTTAATTATTAATTGTTTCTTTATACTATTCCTAATATTTAGTTTATTATTGTCTTTTTTCAGCATAAGTGGACTTTATTACTTCAACAGGTAAAATAATGCCAGAATTTCCTCAGAGCTTGCAATACTAATTTGTGTATTAAAAGCAGAAGAATTGTTGAAATGTTCTATTATTGTGTTAATTCTCTGTAACTTATTTGTGTCGTCAGATAATATTCTCTGTAATATTGTTTCATCAAATAAAAGTGTTTTTGTATAATCATGATCAGGCAAATTGCTTTTTTTTTTCAAAGATAAAAGTTAAATGCTCTTCTAAAGAAGATTTTCTCCCACTATCATATTTAGTAAGAACTGAACAAAAATGTTCAGCAACAAGTTTCTCCTTTTTCAGCTTTTCCTTTAGTACATTAGATATGTTAGAAACATCACGTTTAAAATAAGAAGTTTCAGGGTCAGCAGCAGAGCATGTATAAATCCTTTAGGGGACATTTTTTTTATCTTTGCTGATTTTACTTTATTATCTTTAGAAGGCATACATACTTCATAGGAATAGAGCCTTTTGCAAATCTTTTGTGCTATTTTTGAAGTGTTTGTTTACAAGTAAGCTTGAGTATTTTTTCTTTAGTGGACGTGTAATGTTGTAAAAACAAAAGTAAACATAATACGTGGCAACATAAACCACTTGAACCAACTGGACAAGGATAATGGACACACCATTAACGAATAAAATAATTGCAGGTCTGGCATTTTGTTAATAGGATTTTTTTACCATTGCTTTTACAAAAGTGTTACTCAAGTCAGCTTGAAAAACTTTAACGATTACTACTTTTCTCCTTTGATACATACATACAGTTTTTTCTTGTTGGTCAAAACTTCCCTTGCTTTTATGCAACAAATATTTTTTAAATATCTTTTGGTTAACAAATGACATTTTAGAGTATTCATTTTCCCATTTCGTAGAATTCGGTGGAATTATTGAAGAATCTAAACTGCACTCAAATTTGAAATTTCTATCTTAATTTCTATCTAAATTTTCTTGAGCAAATTTGGATATCTATTAAACATTTTTTAATTCAATTTAGACGTACATCCTTTTTGCCTGAAGTAAAGAGTTGCAGATTTTTTAACAACATGGTAGCTTCTTCTAATGTAAATTTTGCATGCTCTTTCCATTATAAAAGAAAGTTATTATGATGAAACTTGTAGTTATTTGATTGATATTGTTTATATAGCTGTTTGAACATATATTGCACTTCAAAAAAATGTCCCCTCAAGTAAATATTAGTTACCAGGTCTAATACGGTTTAAAAAAGACTAATAGATCAATATATCGTCAGCCCCGAATACAATTGTCGTATACGACACTGTGTTTAAATTGAGTAAATTGCATTTAAAGTTTAAATTATAATTTCTGTTTATGTAAACTTAATTACATGTTGAAATTTAAAGTTGACTAAAACCAATATAAGTTTCTGTTTAAAATGTTTAAAAAAAAAAAAACTACCCCGTAACTAACAGCACTGTTTTTTCAAATACAACAAATATATTTCAAAATCAGAATTTTGTTGGAATACAATTGTCATAGATGCAATTAAGTTGATAGTAGGTAAATTAAGGTTAAATATACTTATGTTGTGACTAACAATGACAATATATTTTAGTAGGCTAATGTTTCACTGCCTCTTTGCATTTTTTACTTCATTACCAGTAACCAATTTACAGATAAATCGGCCATACACTTAGAAATAAACAATTTTTAATGTTCAAGCTTTTGATATAGAAATTAAAAAGCTTTTTATAGATATATATTTATTAATAAATTGAGTATGATGTAAGTTTTTACTTACATAATCAATTTATAAATAATTAAATACTCACAAAATAATTAAAAACTCGCGATTTTTTTTTCCTAATAATTAAAAAAAATTAATTTAACCCACATACCTTTCAACTTGTCAGCAAAAAGTGATATAAATAGGTTAAACCTAATATAAAAAACAACCATTTCCATTGTTGTACCTTTTCTTAGAATAAAGAAATAAATATATACAATGTTTATTAAAACATTTTATAAAGTGATATATTTTATTGTTCAGACTTGGTGACTCAAAAAGATGATTATAAAATTCAAGATCTTCACTGACAAATTATTTTACCATTGACTCAAGGTCATACATTTTTGTTATCTGAGAGCAAATAATGTGTTGAATCATAGAACTTTCAGAACTTTCTGTTTATTCTTTCTCTGAGGGACCTTTTACCAATCTTTTTTTAATTCATGGACATGAGAATGACTTATTGAATTTAATATGAAAAGGCAGTTGTTTTTCATGACACAATAGTTTTACTTTTGCAAAAGACACTTTTTGAAATATAAAGACTTGGAAGCAAGTTTGAAGTTTTTGAATTCATCTAAGTACATTTGTATGATTTTTAATTCTACTCCGGTTTTTTCAATAGATCACAGTAATTTGAATAAAGTAGAAGGAATAAAGTAGAAGGAATAAAGTAGAAGGAATAAAGTAGAAGGACTCTCAAAGTGTCTTAATTTTTTTTTCAATCGCAGAATGTACTGAACTATGACTGTTCAATGAAATGTATTTTGCTATCATTTTGAAAAAATTTTATTGCCATAGACACAATTGAATTCTTATTCTGGGGAACACAAGAATCCACAAAATAATATAATTAATTGATATATTAGGACAGCCTTAAATGATTAAATTTAATGGTTTATTCAGACAACTTGCAAGTTAATTTGCACCTCTACCTTCCCTTAGATTCATTCCAAAGTACGATAAGTTTTTTTATTTAATGAACAGTGGGCTGTCAAATTATAGCAATTTAATTTTCTTTTATAGTAGAATGCAGAAATATTAACAATTGCAAGGGGAAATACTTTTTTAAAATCAAAATTTATAACTGCAGTGGTTTTATAATCTCCATTTGCAACTTTAGCTAGGGCACATTTTCTTTCTTGTCTATTTAATTGCTTATTCTCTCTATACTGCAGTTTTTTTTTATCATCATTGTTTTTATACTTTATATATATATATATATATATATATATATATATATATATATATATATATATATATATATATATATATATATATATATATATATATATATATATATATATATATATATATATATATATATATATATATATATATATTATGATATATATATATATATATATATATATATATATATATATATATATATATATATATATATATATATATATATATATTTAACATCTTCGCTTCCAACAAGGCTGCAAGCAACCACTAATTAGTGTTGGAAGTTACTGGAAGAGAAAAGATGAAAATTGTAGAGCAAGATAACGATTGACAGACGACTTGAAAGATTGCAAATTATATGAATCAGGAAAGCAAGATGAAGGAAGCAAATTCCAAAGAACTGATGTTCGAGGAAAAAAACTAGACGAATAAAAATTTTTGGAGCACTTAGGAACAGTTACAGAAAAAGGATGAGACTTAATTGAATGACGAGTAACACGAGAATGAATTTTAGTAGATGACACAAGAGATGCTAGCTCTTTAGAGCAGTGCCCATTATAGTATTTGTAAAAAAGAAAAAGAGAAGCAACATTACGACGATGTGACAGAGGTTGAAGGTTGGCTGCAAGAACAGGTCCAACTATGTTTACAATGCGTTTTTGCACCTTGTCTAAAAGAGAAAGGGCATCATTAGAAGATCCGCCCCAGATATGGCAACAGTATTCCATACAAGGTCGGATTTGAGATTTATAGAGATAGAGAATAGAATCCAGAGTAAGAAAGTGTCCAGCTCGATAAAGAGATGCAACTTTAGCAGATGCTAATTTTGCAACGGATTTAATATATGGTTTTCAAGAAAGATCAGAAGTGAGAGTTAATTCTAGAAGATGAAGGATAGATGACTCATCGAGTACATTACCGTTCATAAATAAAGGAAGGTCTAAATTATTGCGATAATGATTGGATGAAAAAAATTGAGTTTTATCTGAATTAAAGTTCACCAGCCACTGTGAGCCCCATGCTGTAGCAGAAGTGAGATGCTTTTCAAGCTCAAATGCCCCCTGCAAGCAATGAGAGGGAGTTGGTTCATCAGCGAACAATGCCACCTTAGATGTGAGAATATCTGGAAGATCGCTAATGTATATTAAAAAGAGTATAGGGCCAAGGATTGAACCTTGAGGAACCCCTGAGGTTACAGAATAAGAAAAAGAGTGCTGTCCATCAAGGACAACTTTTATACTACGATTGGAAAGAAAGAATTCAATAATCTTAAAGATGTTTCCAGATACACTATAAGAAGAAAGCTTATAGAGAAGACCAGCATGCCAAACTTTATCAAACACTTTAGAAATGTCAAGAGCAATGGCCTTAATCTCTCCACCTTTATCTAATGCACGATAAAACCTATCGGTTATTACTGTTAGCAAATCAGCCGTAGAACGAGAAGATCGAAATCCATATTGATGATCAGAAAGAAGGTTATGAGTTTCAAGATGAGAGATTAAGTGTTTGTTAATTAAAGATTCAAAAACCTTGCTTATGATAGGAAGAAGACTAATGGGACGGTAGTTAGATGAATTAGATCGCTCTCCAGAATTTTTAAAAATAGGGATAACAGGTGCTGCTTTCCAGCAGGCTGGAAAACAAGACTCTGATAACCACTTGTTAAATAGTTTTGAAAGGATAGACGACAGCTCCGAAGAACACTTCTGCAAGACTATAACAGGTATGTTGTCCGAGCTGCAAGCTGTAGAAGAGTCTAAGCAGGAAATCACTTTAGATACAGAAGCTGGAGTGATATGGATGTCGAGCAACAGATCAACCTGTTTGACAGCTATATCAGGTAGAACGCAACTAGTGGAGATGTGTAAATTTTTCATCAATGTCAAGAGATGACATTGATGAAAAATTCTTAGCAAACAATTCAGCTTTGTCTTTAGGTGGGGTGACAAAGTCTGAACCATACAAAAGAGGTGGAGTTACAGACTTGCCCTTATTATTGATACTATTAAAGATTCTCCAGAAGTCGCGAGAGCCTAACTTTTGTGATGAAATATAAGATTTCATGATCTGAGAATAGCGGGCTTTGGCGTTAGACAAAACCTTTTTACAATGGTTCCTAGCAGTAATAAACAGACATTTGTTTTCTGGAGAATTGTTTTGCTGATAGATATGGAAGTATGGTTTCGATTGGCAATTGCAGCAGCACAATGCAAGGAAAACCATGGAGAAGAGTGAGGCTTGACCTGGAATCGTCGAGAGGGAATAAAGGATTCCATGCCAGCCTGAATCCACGAAGTTATGTAAGAAGCACATTTATCAATAGGAAGACGAAAGATTACTACCCAAGGGCCATCACAAAAAAAATCACGGAAAGAGTCCCAGTCAGCTTTAAGGTAGTTGTAAGATGTACGATGATAGGGGGATTCTAATGACAAAGAAGAATGAGATAATAGTTTTAGAGAGACCAAACCATGATCGGAGGCACCTAAGGGTGAGTGTGGAGAAACTGAGCACTGACTAGGATCAGAAACAAGACATAAGTTGAGTAGAGAAGGTAAATGATTCGGGTTATCTGGAAAGCGAGTTGGAAAGTTGACTATTTGAGTTAGGGATTGAGAAAGCCAAAAGTTGTGGGCCTTAATGCCTGCAAAGTCACTCTTGACATAAATCAAATAAATCTTTCTTTAGTTTATGAAATGCCTAATTGAATTCCATATTAAAAGTTCTATCTTTTTTACATTGAACTCTGGGTAAGCTTGGGTAAACAACCTGGACATTTTAACTGTACTCAACAACTCTAAATACTTTTTGTTACTATTCTGTTTGCAAAAGTGTGGGTGTTGGAAAACTATTTATATGTTCTCTGATCTTTTCAAAATGATATTTGTAAACACATTTGTTATGTTTTTTAATTCCTAAATATTTATCTTTACTTTTACAAATCCCACCTTTCTACATTTTCTTTTACAAATCCCACCTTTCTACATTTTCTTTTACAAATCCCACCTTTCGAAAATTTTAACTATAAAAGTTAAGTTTTTTAGAGCCATTTTAGTCCAAGTAATAAGAATGGATTTCAACTCTGTCATCAACAATAAAAACTTCAAAACATTTCAGTGTACATACTGAAAAAAAAGTTCCTCCTACTTTTCTCTCTGGTCTCTCTTGACCTTTTCTATCCATGCAGGCCTTGCCACACTGACTTTGCTTTTTTCTGACATTTATTTTCCACTTGTTAACACTTCTTTTTCTTTTTCTTTTTTTTTTTTTTTGAGTTTTCTGCAAAACATAATCAAAGTAAAATTAGAAACTTTTCATTAAAATTATTAAAAATAGAAAAATTAACGTTATTAAAAATATAATTTAGAATATTATAAATAAAAAAAAATTAATTAAATTAAAAATAATAAGAAAAACCTCAAGAATTTATTTAGAATATAAAAATAATTATTTTTGTGTAACTATTTGAGCACAAGACATATTGTAATGAAATCTTTGTGAGGATTGTTAGGAGAAATGCTAGTAGAAGAGAAAGATAGTAGGATCTTTCGCCACATAGCCAGGAAAATACTATTGGTATCAGATTATCAGCATCAGAAACCAAAAATACTCCATATGTGTTATAAAATAATCCATATTTGTTACTTATTTTTACAAAAAAATGATATATCTAATAAATACTGTTTATTTTTACAAAAAAATGATATATCTAATAAATACTTACTAAAATTAAAAAATTAATAAATACTTTTTAATTTTTCTGATTACGAGTAATACTTTTTATTTCCTGAACATTTCAGTTCAATTTAAAGAAAACAAAAACAATTCAATATTAAAAAATAAATCAAGTGTATTCCTTTTTTTTACAAAATACTACATGCTAAAAAGTAAACAGAGGAATATACATAACAAAATCTAAAGTCACGTGATCATATAGAACGATACTATTGGTCTACGCTAAGTACAACAAATGTACACCAAGCGTCTTGTATAAAAAGTTTATTTATGACAAATGGTCTATAGGACTATATTGGAATAAAATTTAAGAGAGATATTTTTTTTTTCAATAAGTGCACAAAAAAATAGACGATTTGCATATAAAAGTCATTTTTTTTCAAAAATGTCAAATATGACACTTGTATTCCTGGCTGACGATATGTAAAAAAAAAAGAATTTCAATTACATAATGTAACGTTACACATCAAAAAATTATCACAATAATGTACGCATTGTTAGCAACACAGCTTAACAACACAAATAGAATACAAAAAAAATTTTTTTGATCGGCTAATTTGCAGGAAAAAAAACTTTTTTTGCAACTACGAAGAGTTTTTTTTTGGCTTGTTTAAGTTATTAGCATTATTGTTACGAGAAATAACTTCAATATAACAACATCAAAAACAAAAAACAAACAATAAAAATAAAATATAAATTAAACCAACTAAATAAAATAAAAAATCAACATTAAAAAAATATAAGAATATGTATTTATTTCATTTACATGTTTCTAGGTATATATGAAAAAAGAATTTACTGTTAACTTACCGACACACTGGCCACCATAATACTTCAGATCATATAAACAATCACATTTATAGGATAAAGGTGTATCAATACATGTCATGTTGGCTCCTTTGCAGTTTTCTTTATCTTCACATTCATTGACTTCTAAAAAATAGGAAAAATATTCAAATACTTTATTAATTTGCATATTTTTTATGTATTTTTAATATATTATATGTTGTGAAAAAAGTGTCTTATTATCACTTTCATTAACATATACATCTCATATTACTATTATTGTCCTCATTAAATTTGCTTCGATATTATTATAATATAGCTAATATTTTCCAATTAGGTTTTCAGATTTGTATTCATACTATTTGCAATGCTCTTCAAGCTAAAAAAAATAAAAATATTAAACATTAAAAGAATTAACATTGATTACCATTAATAAGAACTTCAGTTGCAATTGAAACTGGCCCAATATTATCAGTTTTTGCTTGACATTGATAAAATCCACTTCCCAACAAACAATTTTTCAAAATTTTTTCATTGTGACCAGTAATTTCCTAGAAACATTCTGTAATTTTAAAAATTTATAAAAAAAATAAATACCATTAATGCTATTAAACTATACAAAACTAAATTGATTTCAGAGTGTTAGCTTGCTGTAAGAAAATTTAAAAGATAAACTTTAAAGAAATGAGGCTAGTTCTGGTCTTAGATTCAAAACTAAAATAATATAATACCAACAAACATTTATTCATTTAGAGTATGGTTCACTATCATTAACACAAAAACAAAATTACAACATACCTGATTATCTTTGTACCAAGTAAAAGTTTCTGCAGTGTTAGATACAGTATTACACTCTAAATTACACTCCATACCAACAGCTAATTCTAAATAACTTCCAAGATGAAGTTCACTAGTAATAACAGGAGGCATTTGAATGATGTCTGATCCAAGTTGCTCTAAACACAACAAACTTTATATAACTCTGAGAACTAAAGTATTTCATGGTAAGAAACTTGTTAATAGAAATTAAAAATTTTACATACCAACAAGAACCATTGAAAAAGAACTTCTTGTCTCCACTTGATACTTTGTTTCTGAATTGCTGTACATCATGATTGACACAACAGACCCTTTCCGTAAATACATGCTTCTTGATACTGTTAATGTATCTACACTTATTAGTTGTTTTAAATCAGTTACAGTTAATTCATCGTTAACAAAGATTCCAAATGTTAATTGAACTCTATAGTTTTGATGATTGCATTATAAAACAGAAAATAACTTAATGACAAACCAAAATAAGGAAATAACTTTAGGATAAAACAAGAAATAAACTTTGTAAGAAAACTTACGGCATTAAAACAGAGACAATGACATGCGCTGATATGAGGTACAAACCAGTAACTTTAGGTACAACAACTTTATTTTTATAAAAGAAACCTGAAACATGTTCTTCTTCAAATGCAGTTATCAAAACCCATTTAAAGGCAATCCAGTGATGACTTTCTGGCGATTTTACAGTAAGCAATATTGCTGGAGATTTTATACCTCCTATGTAAGCCAAAGACAGAGTTGTCTGAGATTGAATTGTTGCAGTATTATTAGATGACATATAAATTGATAAAACTACCTTCGAAGTTTTAACTAAAACAACTCCGGCAAGCAAAAACGTGAAAGTTGTGTCTGGTACACTGTAGTAAGTAGCCAAAAAAAGTGTGTTAAGTTTGTTTAACACTCCAAAAGAAATTCTTGTTCCCGAAGAAGAGAGTGTTATCAGGTTAGCAGAAAGAAAATACACTCCACTTCTGTGAAGTGGAAAATTATCAGCCTTTAGAGATCTTGAACTGTAAGGTACCCATTCTGTAATAATACTGTGTTCTTTTAGTGTTGAAATAAATGCTGATAACTTTATATATGTTTCACAAGTTTCCAATGGATAGTTTGATACTCTAGTGTATGAAAAAATTGTTCCACGTGGTACAAGCAATCCAAAACTAGAGGTGTGGAACGAAGATGACAACTGGGTATTTTTATCCATAGTAATAAAACCAACAACATGAAGTTTTAATATATGTGATGTGCTAACAAACAAAAAAAGTAAAAATAATAAAGTAATCGTTACTAAAAGATAATTGCTAAGAGATGATGATGTAGCTTAGGATTTTTCAATATAAAAAGATTTAAAAACCTTACGCACCTCACACTAGAAACAGCAGTAAAAACATTAATTTCATCTTTAATTATTGGAAACCAGTGAATGGATAAGTTGACATCACCTAAAGACCTTTTGAATGTGACTTCCATTGAAATAAAATAGCAACCTGAAGACTGTGCTGTTAAAACACCGCTTGATGCAGAATAACCACATGTAAGACAGTAATATGAAGATGTTTCCTGTTGCCATGGTTTTAGTGTTTCTAGAGAATCGGAAAACTCCAGATTATTGGGATTCAACTAAATAAAAACTTTTTTTACTTAAAATTTTGTCCTAAAAACTGATTTATTAGAAAATACTATATAAAAAAAAAAAAACTATAAATAATATTGATAATACCTTAAGAAAAAATGATGAAGCTTGAAAAGACTTTTCATCATGTAACAAATATATTGACAAATAACCTTTCTCAAGAATATCAAACTTATCAGTAAAAAAATTCTGGTCTGTAACATCTGCTCTACTTCTTATTAAAACACTAAACTCGTCTTCTTTTTTCATTAAAAGTACAAATAAACAACTCAAACTTACTTCATTGTACATTTCTGCTGTTTCATCACAAACAAGAATCAGTTCATCAAATTTTATAACAAGTTGATAACTTTCTAAGGCAACTTTATTCTTAAGGTGAATTTGCAATGATAAAACATAAGTTCCACCATAATGAACAACTACTTTCTCTAAATTCAAAATCACGGGATTATCTTTTGATATGCATTCAAAACAACCACTAGATGGACATTCTGAACTCCAACCATTTATCAAATTTAACTGGTTTTCAGTCTTGCGCACAATGATTTTAGGAATATTTACTAAAAATCCTTTGGCTGAATTATCATCAATATCATTAATTAACACTATTGAAAAACTCGAAAACTTCGCAACATGTAAACTTCCAGAAAAATTTGAATAAACCACTAAGTTAGTTTTGTCTTCTTTAGAAAGCTTTATTGGACCAACTAGAGATAACGTAAAAGATCTCTTTACCCTTGATTTAAAAGAGGCAACTAATCGTTTGGTACAATAAATTGAATGTTTATTATTGACATTTAAGCATGCTGTAACATATGCTGATTGCGTATCATAGGCAATCAGGTCTTTAACTATTATAATGGCAGATATTAAATAAATTCCAGTAACTGGAGCTTTAAATAAACCTTCACCGTAAGAGAAAAAATTATTATTGTTATAATGATAATCTCGAGAAAATTCTGACTGACTTGAGTCATAGAATCTCGCTACCTCAATACTATTTTGACCAAAATTTGGATTATCAAGACTTGCTTGAAATCCTATAACATTTTCCATACTCCCTAAAGGTGAAAAGGAGATAGAACAACTTACCTTTAAGTTTAACAACTTTGAAGACTGTATGAATATCCCAACATTCTGTCCAATATTTATCACTAACGTGCTAAACAATTTAAATATTGTTTTCGAATTTACATTATGGACTTCACTAACCAAAAGAATCTTTTGTTTTTCATAAACAGCTTCATTGTATATCAAGGCAACTTTAACTTCATCTTCAAGCAAATTATCTGTAACTAGCACAAAAATACTAACAAAGAAAACCTTACTTTGATGTGTATTAAACAGACCCTTATTTATATATATTAACTCTTCATAGGGATCATCTTTTATACAAGAAAGGAGTTTCCAATCCAATGATGTTGTAATCAATTTTAACTCTGGAACCTGTGGAATTCTGTTTGAATAAATCAAAACTAAGCTAACAGTACTATTAGATAAAACGAACCATTGCTCACTAGTCGAAGAATAAATATTTAACCTCAAGTTATCATTTTGTGCAACTTCAAGAAGAGATACAAAACTAATTGTTTGTTGAGAAGTTGAAGAAAAAGATTGGGTTACTAATGAAAATGTCTCACCAAAGTAATCCTTTTGATTAAGAGTCATTGCTTCAACATTTTTTGTTACTGCTAACTTTATTGTTGTATTAAAAGGAGCTTTTACAATTAAATTAATTGTTACTAAAACCAAACCTGCTTCTTTAAAAGAGACAAAGTTTGAAGCATGATGGACATTTCTGTTTGAGAAACCACTATTTTTATTATTGCCATAATTAAACAAGTCTAACAAATTCCAGTTATCTTTACCAATATAAGATTCTATTTTGTACAATGAAACTGAAAGACCTTCTTTTTGGTTCAAGTAACCAATACCATATGTTGTACTATTAGATAACACAAGTTTCAAGCAAGATGATGTAACATTTAACCAAACTCTATCACCTTTTTCTAATGCAATACTTCGTGCAATGTTTATTGTAAAGTAAAATGCTGAAGCCATCATGGTAGATTCAATAAGAACTTCATTACTATTTTTAAATATGATAACAGATGTTGTGCAAGTATAATCTTGCTTGTTGTTGAAAATAAAGTTCCCTAAAACAATATAGATACCCTGTTTTTCAGCAACAAATCCACCACCTTGCCTATTAAACAGATTAGTGGTTATAAATGAACTAAATATGTTTATACTTGTCCAGGGAAACCGTATAGCTTTTTTTTCAACAAAAACGTCATTGAGCAAACTGGCTGACACAAACTGTCGAATATCATAAGTAGAAAGTAATACTAAATTTAGCTGACTGTGTGATTTGACCACTATGTTACCATTTGTAGATTCTATATACACTCGCAGAGTATCATTTTTATTAGCTCGAAATAACCCATTCACTTTAATGCTTGTTAATCCAGTCTGTTCAGTTGACCATGATTGTAATGAGTTATCTGAAACACCTTCGTTCAAATTTGCTAATACTTTTATTATGTTGTTATACTGTCGGATCTCAATAAGAAGAATACATGATAACAAATACAACCCTTGAGATTGTAGAATCAAACTGTTATCATCATCTTGTGTAACTCCTAAAAATAAAACAACTCATAAAAATTATAGTATTACCACAGAGCATATAAAACAGTGATGCAGCACCATAAAAAGGACTAATAACTTCAAAGTTACAAAATGAATTTTTCTTCTTGGTTTTTGGTATCTAGGAGCTCTGAAAATGTAAAGAGTTTTATGGACTACATTTGGGAAAAAAATAAAGACTTATGTGTTAGAGAAACAATCACTTTCAAACTAAGAGTTCTTATGTGTAATGGCAGCAAAGACACCAGGACTCTGGACCAAAAAACATTAGACTCTAAGTCATTAAATCTCATTGTCACTTACCAGAGACCTTGAAAAAACAGAGGTTTTAAGCCAGACTCCCTGATACAAAAATTTTCCATTCTATTTTAATTATTTAAATTGATCTATTATTAAACTTTTTTTTTACCATTAAAATATTAAATTCAAAAGATTTTCTCAACATTTTTTGCCAACATACTATACAAAATATAAATATAACTATATTAAATCACAAGTCAGAACTTTTTTCCAGAATGAGGCTTTTAGAATGAGTCATTTCCTAATAACCACAACATTTAAGTGGTTTCCAAATAACCACAACATATAAGTGGTACTTCAGGCTTGGTCGGGAAGCGGGAGCGATCGCTCTCGAATACTGACCACGGAAATTGTATTTAGTTGCGTAAAATTGGCCAGGTTTTTCAGTTGTTTTGAGAACATTTAAGTTTATGTACGAAATAAAAAAATTTTGTTTTACGGACATACATGGAAACATAAAAACTTTAATGTTCTCAAAACATCTTTGAGCGCAAGAATAAAAAGAATATTTGCGAACACTAAAAACCCGCCAAATTAACGAACAAACTAATTCTGTTGGTTCAAAAAATACGCTGATTAAGCGAAATAAAGTTCTAGAGTATTCTGTTGAAATGTTTTAGAATTTGTATTATTCACGATTTATTACGTTTTGAGATTTCTAGCATAAATTGTTTTAAAAATATTTATTATATGTTTGCAAAAATAAATGTTTTAAATATATATTAATTAAGTTATCAAAATTTTAAAAGTTTATTATAAATCATAGATTTTACTAGTATACTCTTATTTTTTATTTTAAAAGAGATTGTATTCTTTATGCAAATGTAATTTTGTGTATTTGTTTTTTACCGTAATATATCTTTTAAAGCAATTTTCATGATTTAAACAAAGACTTACAAAAATAATTGCTTTTTCAATGAAGTTATAATCGTTAAAGTTAATAAAACTAATTATGTAACAAACATATAAGAAGTTTCTGGTTACTAAACACAAACAACGCATACAAAGTTAGTCGCGGATGAACAAGCATCGCGCGTGAGGTCACAACAGAACACAAATATATATAGCAAATAATTAGATTTAAAGAAAAGTTTCTAGATATAGGTTTACTAACTCTAATTATTTTCGCTTAAATTGCCATTCTTAAAACTCGTTATACTTTTTGCTGCTTTAAATACTAATTAAAATTTAAAAGCCCACTCACTAAACATCATCAGCGATATTGTGAAGCAGTTTCGCTTCCTGGTCATTAAGTATTTTTAACCTTTTTAGTTGATTTCTATCATGATAATTTAATTCCTATAGTAATTCAATGATTTAATTATTTCATTTGTTTATCTTACTAAGAAGAATCGCTTTAAATATGTTAAACTTTTCAAACTACGCGATACATAAAATAGGTATTAAAAAAGTTAACTTTTTTATTTATAAAATAAATTAAGCTTAAGTAAAACTAAAACTTGCAAACTTAGTTAAATAAAGAATATTTGTTTCCCTTTTAAAAAATCGTTAGTTGTTACTTAATTATATAAAAAAAACTGTAAAAGAGCGATGTTTCGATATAATTTATTTAGCTTTAAGTTTTTTTGCGTTTAAAGATATTTTATTTGCCTATTTTTTTTTTTTTTTTTTTTTTTTTTGTAACTGCCTCTCATTGGTCTAATTAATCTTTGTCGCTTTTTTTTGCTTTGTAAAATGTTCTCAAAACGGCTAAAAAATCTGGCCAGCTTTTTGCAACTAAATATTATTTACGTGGTCAGCAATCGAGAGCGATCGCTTCCGCTTCCCGACCAAGCCTGGTACTTGGAAAAAGACTAATAACCACAACATTTAAGTGGTTTCCAAATAACCACAACATATAAGTGGTACTTAGAAAAAGACTCTTCTTGAAATTTTATCTTCTTGAAATTTAATGACTTCCTCATAAATTTTTAAGACAATCTTTATAAAATACTTTTGGATCTGAACTAACTAGATTAACACCCAAGCGGAACATTTTTGTTGAAAAAATGCAGTTCCAACTCTCAAAACTATATTTCTTTTTGGAGGTATAACCCTTGAATTTCTTAATGAGGTGAAGTACCAGAGCTGAGATAACCAAATTCTCAAAAATGTGAGAAAAAGAAAAACTTTTTTGTTTAAAAACTTACCTCCATAGTAGCATACCTCCAAGGCAGAGGAGCCATTACTATAGAGGCAACTTTTATTTTTCTTCCTTTTTTAAATCTGTAACTCCAAAAACACAAATATGGGCAAGTATGGCTTCTTTACAAAAAACAAGTTAAATGCATTATTATAAGAGACAAGCTTTATGATAAGGTTCAACATTCAACAGATCATTCTTACCAATCCTCAAAAAATAGTAAAAAGTAGTATGTAAATAATAACAATATAAATAAGATTTTATAAAAAGAAAATTACATACAAACTCAGTTATTAATAATTTATTATATAGGGAGACGGGGGAGACTTCAGACACAAGGAGAGAATAAACACTTTGAAATCTCCTACCCTTTTAACATTCGGTATATATGTTGGTACAGTCTTAGATTTAAAATAGTTAGGTGACAGTTTCTTGCTAAAAAACAGACTTTAGAGTAAAAAACAACTTTTTGGTTCTTTGATGTAAAACTTACAATTAAGTGAATCATTCAGATCATACAGATTATGCGGTAGTGGTGTAGTGGTAGAGTGCTCGCTTCATAAACGAGTGGTTCCGAGTTCGATCCCCACCACGTCCCTGGTAGTACCGCGCTCAACTCGTTTCTCCGCGCAGCGGCCTTGTTCGTCAAGGTTCGTGTTTCGGAGTTATAGAGTTGAGAGAGGGTTATAGCCACGAATAAGTAGCCTCCTCATCTGTAGTGGCCTTCTCGGCCTTGAGGAGGTGAATTAAAATAAAAAAAAAAAAAAAAGATCCTAGTTCATAACTCCTAGAACAGAGTTCATAACATAGTTATGAACTCTGCCAGAGTTTAACTCTGGTTTAACTCAGAGTTTAACTCAGTTAATGTTACTTTTTCAGAACAAACAGCGACCTGCATAGGTTTTGGAATGTAAATCCTTGTGATCTATAAATGAGTTAGTAACAATTCCCTTGATTTTTTTCAATACACCCCTTAATAACACCCCTAGACAATTAATAAAATTTTGTGAATCTCTATTTGCACAATCATTAACAATTGCAACACTATAATTCCCTTGTAGATTAATTCTGCACAAAGGAATTCTCAAGTGAATGTATATAAAAGTGCTAAGGAATTATAAGTGGGGCTGGTCATGCCTCACTGCCTGTTTGGATTTTCATTTGAGTGTCCACTAAAAAAAAGGTCTAAACGGTCGGTTATAAAATGGAGGAAATTAAATAGTATTCTAATCCTTCTCTTTAAGTTCTGTATATTAACCACTCCAATAATTATTTCAGTTAAAATTCCTCAGTTAGCCAACTCCATTAACTAGTTTTCATGCTGTTTTCTTACCGCACTTAAATGTTGCGATGCCAACATACAATGACTTTGTTTAATTGGTAAATTGCAGCCTTTGGTTTTTTAAATAATGGTTGCTGATAAATTCTTTAAATTTAATTAAAACATGCTACAATATGAAAAAGTCAAAGAGTTTGTATCTAGTTAACATTTAGTTTCATTTTTTAAAATTTTATGTTTATGTTTCTTCACTATTATGCATTAAACATTTCCTCTACTCTATTTTCTTCGATTTTTGAAAACGGATCAAAATATTAAAACCAAGTAAGTTTATTGTGATTCGTTTCAAGAAATCGCGATCATCTCTATCGCAACAAAGTGGAGGTTTTATTCTCTTAGTGTTTTAACTATATATTAACTTCAAAATGAGTTATTTCACTGTGTACCTTTTAAAAAAAAAACATCTAAAAATAACTCTTAAATAATATTCAATATAAAGTGCTACAAACAAAAAAATATAGACATTGTAAAAAAATTGTGCCTAATTTGATTAATTCTGTTTGGTATGGTTTTACCAGAAAGAGTTCCATGTAACTTTTACAGGCTTTTGTCTTAGAGCATATAGCAAACTTTATTGGCCAACCCAATCCATGTTTTGTTGCTACAGTCTTGTAATACAGGACTGTATACAAATCATACAGTGGTATGATACAATCATACAGTACATGATTATGTAATTCAAAAGCATGGATTGGAAAGACAAAAACTAAAATGGAAATATCAGAATTGTTTCTTTTAAGTAGCACTTGATATATTTAATTAAAAATTTATCTTTTTAAGATCATATTTTGGTAAAATAATTATTAGAGGGGAGTAGGCAAAAATCTATGCTGTTACCTTGGCTGCAGCATAGAGATTTTAACATGTGTATTTTATAAAATACCCTGTAGGACGTGCATGTTATAAAGTTAATATTGTTAATTGTTTTATAAAACTTACACACAAGCTAAAAAAAAAATTATATGTTCAGCTTATATCATTTATTATGAAACTAAATGGGAACTTATAAAACCAAAATATGCTTCAAAAGAAAGAATTCAACTTTGTAGTCATTACTATCCAAGAGTTTCGAAAATCGGCAACAGTAAAGATAATATTATAATAATTGAATAACTTAAAATGGATTTCTCCTCCACTCCCTAAACAGTAAAGGCCACATTTCTACATTCATAACTAAATATAACCCAAATTTGGACATGCAATGTTTTAGA